TCTGCTGTGAACAGGGCCCTCTATCCACCTGCAGTCTCCCCTTCAGCGCACATGTTGGCCAACTGTGGCCTCCAGATCTGCCCTTCTGTTTTTTTAAATAAAGTTTTATTGTAACACAGCCTGGCAGTCACACACGCTCTGTCTGCAAGCACTTCCGCACTCTAAGGGCAGAGTCGAGTAGTTGTAATAGAAATGATCTTGCTCACTGAGCCAAAAATATGTCCTCTTTTAGAGAAAATACGACCCTCCAGAGGCTACCTCTGCGGACACCTGACAAGCATTTCCCATCCTGAATGGGGATCAGATCAAACTGTCCTGATTCGTGTGATTTTCTCAGAATATACAGGGATCACTCCACTGCTGACTAAGACGACTTTGGAAACTTCTCTACTGCCTAGAAGATATAGTCGGCAGGTCTTTGCAAGCAGGACAAAACCGTCAAGGTGTGACCCTGCAGCAGGAAGTAGGACTCTGCTCTGAAATGAACACAAGGAGACAAAAGCTCAGTCTTTCTCAATGAACGGCAGTGCACCGTCTTTGCCTTTCCAACCAAGCCTGGTTCCTACATGTCCTTAGCAAATCCCACACTTTATAGGCATGCCTTCCATTTGCTAATGATCCTCGTTCTTCTGATGGCTCAGCTGGTAAAGAATCCACCTGCAATGAGCGAGACCTGGGTTCGATCCCTGGGTTGGGAAGCTCCCCTAGAGAAGGGAAAGGCTACCCACTCCAGTATTCTGGCCTGGAGAATTCCATGGACTGTATAGTCCACCTGGTCGCAGAGTCAGACACAACTGAGTGACTTTCACTTGTTCTTTCAAATGCTTCTGGGCCCGTCCCCACTCTGTGCCCGCTGTATTCCCACAGACTGTTGGGCTCATAACCACATGTCCCTTCCTCTGTGATATATTTTCTCAGTTCCTTCTCGAGCATCTTCTGTCATCTTCTCTGAGCAACCATGTGCACATTTCCCCAATAGCACTGGCAGCTTCTTCCCATCAGAGCAGAAGTTCGTAAAGGGCAGTGGTTGGGCATTTTTGTTTTTGGTTTTTTTTTAATCCTAAAAGCCTAACAAGGTAACCTTCCGTATGATAACCTTCCATGAGCTCGAGGCATGCCCCATGCCTTATTCTGATTAGTGACTTTTTAATTCAGGATGCAAGCTTTGTTCACTATTCCAGTTCGGTCATTTCTAAATATACCACTAGAATAAAACAAAGACTGAGAAGCCAAGTATTATTCCAGAATATAAAAGACACGTTGCTGTGTAGTCGCTAAGTTGTATCTGGCTCTTTTTTGATCCCATGGTCTGTGGCAGGTCAGGCTCCTCTGTCCCTGGGATTTTCCAGGCCAGGAACACTGGAGTGGGTTGCCATTTCCTTCTCCGGCGGATATTTCTGACTCAGGGATCAAACCCACATCTCCTGCATTATAGGTGGATTCTTAACCACTGAGCTGCCAGGGAAGCATAAAAGACACTGTTAAGAAGAAATCACTACTATTTTGGAAAAACTAAATTTTTCACAAAGCAAGCAGAGGTCCTAAGCCAATAGCTGCTCCGCCCATCCATTCTTTGACTGACGGACATTGGATGCTGAACCCTCTATCAGGCACTGTCCAAGGCACTGAGTTGCAGATGAATTAACCACAGGACTTGACATTAAAAGGTCACATATCCAGAAAAGACCATAAAAGACTAAACAAAATAGACTAAATTCAGCTTGCCCCAAACTGAAGTTAACATGAAATATACTAGACCAACCAAGATCAAATGCTGACCCTGTTAGATTAAAAAGCTCATGGAAGTTTTAAATACATATTTTAGAAATTATAATAGCATAAGCATTGGCTTAAATGTACCTAAGCAAGTAAAATAAAACTAGAGCTTAAGGGAGGTAAACTTTTGAAAGTGAGACAAATAATAAAGGTTTGGACTAGAATCCTGGAGACTGGGAGGAACAGAGGCCTGTAAAGTGAGAGAAAAATTTATCTATGAGGTCTCTGCCTAAATCCAAATAGGCTTATTTTCTTGGTTTCATAGGTAATTAGCCTGATTTTTGAAGTAGTAACATGTTGTAGACACCAGGGGGCAGATCATGCCCGAGGAAATCTAAATGGGCTACTGTGCCCTCCAGTTTTTATTTTTATATTCACAATTTTCTCTTAATTCCCACAGCCCCAAGTCCCACTGGGGGGAAAAAAAAAAACAAAAAACTGCTAGAGTGGTCTATTAAAAACCAAAACACATTTTAATGAGAAATCTATTCTTAAAAATGCCGTTTCCTGATTTAATTTAAATACTCTTCACATCACAACTACACAATGAGAGCTTTCTGTCTGGGGTCCCCTCTCCCTCCCGGCTACCCCCAACTTTATTTTTAAATACTACAGTCTTTGGCAGGAACATGCTAACCCCTTCCTGTTTTATTACACACACATATATATGCACAATGATCTCATTTGATTTTTCACTTTCTTCCCTAACTGCTCTGTCTAGCAAGTGATATATGAGTCATGCCCTCACTTTTTCCACTGAAAGTAATAAACACAGCCAATTATCGATGGCAAACATTTAGGTACCTAAGTGTGGAAAACAGCTTGATCTTCTTAAACTCTCTGTTAATCTTATCAAATTATATTCTGCTAATCTGTATGCTAAATATTCTGTATGCTGAAACAGTGATCTTAAATTCTAACTTCTAAACTTTACTTTCAACTTTTGTGAAACCATCTCAAAAAGCCCACAGATAGTGCTTCAATCAGAAGGCAAGTCAATTCATTGGGAAGGTGACTCTTAAAAGTTCTATTTTCAAACCAAGTGTTAGCTTCATTTTTATTAAGTGCAAGTTACAAGGATTCATATGTACTTAACTGGATTAATGGACAGTCCCTCTATCCAAGTTGTTTCCACAACCTGGTGAGTGAACATCGTTAAGGTAAGAAAAGAGAATATATCTTCCCAGGTGTTTCCCTTCCTTAAAGAAAGTAACTGATGGAGGAAGCAAGGAGAGAAGAGATGAAGGAGAAATGCATTGTTCCATCCTCCACATTCACATAATTCTGATCTATTGCAAATGAAGGATCCATGAACAAGAGTAATGGGTAAACACTGCTAAGAAGAACAACACAATCCCTGAAGGCAGTACCTGCGTCAAAGGGCTGCTGGAAAGTTTCAATGAGCTGATGCATGAAAAATTTTTGGCACAGTGTTCAAAGCCTTTGGAAATGTTGGCCATTATCTCTTACCCATCTTCCGTCAGATACCATGTGGGACAATGTGCTTATGCCTGCTCAGCTGTGTCTGACGCCTTGGGACCCCATGGACGGTAGCCTTTCAGGCTCCTCTGTCCATGGAACTGTCCAGGCAAGAATACTGGAGTGGGTTGCCATTTCCTCCTCCAGGGGATCTTCCCGACCCAGGGACTGAATCCACGTCTCTGCATCTCCTGCATCGGCAGGCAGATTCTTTACCACTGAGCCACCTGGGAAGATGGGACGGGGCAGGGGGGGACAGTGTGAGGACCTCCCAAATGGCCTCCTTTCTCTCCCCTAGAGTTTCCAGGAGGACTCACCTCTGGTACATCTGCTCCTGACTCCCTCCCCAAAAGAGCAGCAGTGGTTTACTAGACAGGTGAGCTGGGTCGGGGGAAGGGCTGGTCAGCTCCTCACCATCTGGGGACTGGTTCTGACAGTGATTGTGGCCACCGGTGACCTGCCTGAACCCTGACCAGGGGGTCGGTCTGTCTGCAATTTGGGGCTGGGAGTCTGAAGCTGACACATGGCTCTCCACCTCTCTCCTGAGCCTCACTTCCACTGGATCAAAAATCAGGGAGTGGGATCCTTATATGATGTCCTCTCTAATTCTAAACACCTTTTCTTCTCCCCTTGAAATAATAAAAATTATTTTGCCACAAGTTGGGAAAGAAGATCTTGACCTCTGTTTTTGATGGCTTTCCAGTCCCATCAGCAGCTTTAATAATTCAGTCGGGTCTTAGCAACAGCCGAGCTCCATGAACGAGTGCCTGGACGAAGTGCTTGGATATTCCAGGGCACTCAGCATGTCTGCTCTTGATCTCATCCAGGAGTGTTCTGATCACCACTAAGACATATGTGAGTGTGAGTGTGAGTGTGTGTGTGTGTTCAGTCGCTCGGTCGTGTCCCACTCTTTGCAGTACTATGGACTGTAGCCCGCCAGGCCCCTCTATCCATGGGATTCTCCAGGCAAGAATACTGGAGTGGGCAGCCAATTCCTTCTCGAGAACATGATCCCAATTATAAATAATATAAGCCAACAGGATATCACTAGAAATTAGGTGATAAGGGCGATTTGAATTATTCAGTAAAAATTACATATCTTCAAAGCAATACACTCTATGATTTTTTTTTTAGGTAGTTCCTAGTAATAATTGTTTTGTGAATGAGGCATCTGGTAGCTTATTTTAATAATGAGTAAAACTTGGCTGAAATAGATGGCAAGACCCTTTTTCCTCACCTCTCCCCAAAATTAATGGAAATCATTATGCCTTTTTATCGTTCCCTCAACATATAACAGAGTAAGTCCCTCTTCTGCGGCTAATTCAAGGCTCAACTTCAGGAACATCCAATTATTAAATTCCTTAAAAATCCTTAAATTTGGGAGATTCTTGGGTAATCTGTTACTGGCAAAAACCAAAACCTTCCTCAAGTAGGCAAGCATGCTAACAAGCACTCTAGAATACAGAAAACATTTTAAACTTGGAAGAACTATGCAATGCTTCCGTAAGTCAACAGTTGATCATTGGAACAAACCAAAGAATAACTAAGGTAAATAAAACAAAGAGACGAAATGGAGAAATCACTCTGAGGACAAGAGCCAGCAAACATCCTGCTTTTTTATCGAGTCCCCAGTTTCTTTCCGAAGCTGCAGTCACTGGGCTGCTCAGAACGGAAAACTCCGTCTGGGAAATCTGGGGGTTGATGTGCTCGCGGGCGGGCTCTGGGTCTGGGGGCCGGCTGGTTACCTGATGAGCACGCACTGGTTGTCGTGGCGCTTCCACAGGCAGCGGTAGCACTCGTTGGCGATGGCGAAGACGTGGGGGGGCAGCTCGCCCAGGTGGCACCTGCTGTAGCGATCCACGGCATCCCTCGAGTACAGGCCCGTGATGGTCTTGTAGGGGTTCACGGAGGCGATGATGGAGCCGATGTAGGTCTGCGGGGACGGGGCGGGGAGACAGGGACTCGGGTTACAGGTGGCACTCAGGGAGGAGAAGGGGGCATCTGGGCACGGGATCTCACCCCACCCACACTGGGATGGAGACAGAAGCAGCTCCAGGCGGCTCCACACTGAGAGGGGAAGAGATACCGCCTCCCACTGGGGCCACTGTCTGAGCCTAAATAGAATCCAGAGTGCACGTTAAAGGGACCAGGGACTCCTGACCCCCACTCACACACTTTTCCTGTATCTGGGGACAAATCTTGTGCAAAGGAATGCACCCACTTCAAAGACGGCTGCAAGTAAACAAGAGAAAGACAATGGGGACACAGTGAAGCCCAAATCCCTAATTCTCCAGGGACCTCCTGACCCCAATGCCCATCAGGAGGCTGTTAGGAAAGGCAGGATTAAAGCAATATGAGAAGGTGGCGGGGGGGTGGTGGGGGGGAGGGTGACTGCTTAGTGGGCTTCTGTTCAGGATGGTCAGAAAGTTATGTAGGTAGATAGCGGTTATGGTTGCACAACATGGCAATGGTATTTAGTGCACTGTACTGCACACTTAAAAAGAGTCAAAACAGTAACTTTTATGCCATAAATCTTTGACTTAAGAAGTAACAAGACATTGTGAAAACACAAGAATACTGGAGTGGGTTGTCATGCGCTCCTCCAGTTATCTTGCCCACTCAGGGATCAAACTCATGTCTCCTTCATCTCCTGCATTGGTTCAGTTCAGTTACTCAGTCGTGTCTGACTCTTTGCGACCCCATGGACTGCAGCATGCCAGGCTTCCCTGTCCATCACCAACTCTAGGAGCTTGCTCAAACTCATGTCCCTTGAGTCACTGATACCATCTAACCATCTCATCCTCTGTCATCCCCTTTTCCTCCTGCCTTCAATCCTTTCCAGCATCAGGGTCTTTTCAAATGAGTCAGTTCTTTGCATCAGGTGGCCAAAGTATTGTAGCTTCAGCTTCAGTCCTTCCAATGAATACTCAGGACTATTTCCTTTAGGATGGACTGGTTGGATCTCCTTTCAGTCCAAGGGACTCTCAAGAGTCTTCTCCAACACCACAGTTCAAAAGCATCAATTCTTCAGTGCTCAGCTTTATGCTCCAACTCTCACATCCATACATGACTACTGGAAAAAGCATAGTTTTGACTAGATGAACCTTTGTTGGAAAGTAATGTCTCTGTTTTTTAATGTGCTGTCTAGGTTGGTCACAGCTTTTCTTTCAAGGAGCAAGCGTCTTTTAATTTCATGTCTGCAGTCACCATCTGCAGTGATTTTGGAGTCCAAAAAAATGAAGTCTCTCACTGTTCCCATTGTTTCACCATCTATTTGCCATGAAGTGATAGATGGTGAAACAATGGAAACAATGAGAGGTTTTATTTTGGGGGCTCCAAAATCACCGCAGTCACCATCTGCAGCCTGCATTGGTAGTCGGGCTCTTTACCACTAGGGCCACCTGGGAAGCCCAAACTTGTCCTTGTAAGAAGAGAGAATCTAGACTCACAAAGAAACACAGGCGACGTGTGCACACAGACCACGTGAGGACCCAGCAAGAAGGCGGCCATTTGCAAGCCAAGGCAGGAGCCCTCCGGAGAAACCAACCCTGCAGATACCTTGACCTCAAATTCTGGGCTTCTAGAACTGTGAGAAAATAACTGTCTTGTTGCTTCAGCCAGTCAGTCCATGGTCTTTTGTCATGGCAGTCGGAACAGACTAACACAGAGGGCCTGAGCCTTTCAACACTCACAATATCCCTAGGAGGTTCAGAGTATTATTGCACCTATTTCTCAGATGGGCAAATTAAGGCAGAGTGATAAAATTTTGCTTTCGGTCACACAGTCGGTAAGGGGCAGAGGTGAGATGTGAATGCAGGCCACCTAAATCCAGAACCTTCTTCTCACATCCGCCAGCAAGCGGTGGGGACACAGCAGAGGACAAGAAGAGCAAGGAACATTGGACAGAAAGGTCAAACATCCTGAGTGCGTCTGAGCCATAGTACAGCAATTTGCAATCATCTGTATTTACAGTGACTTCCAGGAACATGAAGCAAAATATCCTGTGTCCCGTGTAACTGCTTTCAAATGTAAGACAGTCGAGAGCATGCTTTGGAAACATCTTAAACCAAAACAAGGTTGAAAAGGTCAAAGAGTTATTACCGTATGACCCAACAATTCTGCTCCTAGGTATGTACCCCCCCATAGAATTAAAAACAGGTACTCCAACAAAGATACAGCAGCATCAAACACAAGAGCCTAAAGGCAGAAACAATTTGATGTCCACCATCAGATAGATGGGTAAACAAGATGCAGTACAACCATTTTGCAGAATATTATTCAGCCGTGCTAAGGAAGGAGTACTGATACGGGCTTCCGTGCAGATGGACCTTAAAACATGACACGAGGTGACAGAAGCTGGATACAAACACGGTGGTAGTTACCATGGGCAGAGGGGAGGGTGGAGGCAGGAAGGACTGACAGCTGACTGCCTTGCAGGTACCGGGTTTCCAGTTGGGTGATGGTAACATTTTGGTGCTGGTCGTACAACACTGGATGTACTAAATGCCACTGAATTTCCCTTCAAGTGGTTGGTTTTCTGTTATGTAAATTTCACTTCCATTGAAAAAAAATTAAAAGATGCAGAACTTTCAGGAATGAATTTTCAGGTCTTCAGACACCTGCACTCTCTAGAGGGCCCCCTTTTCCCCATCAGAGCATCAGGGGAAGGATTTGGCCAGAAAGAAGAGTGCAGGCAGCCTTTTCCTCTGGGGAAGGAAAGTGTCCTACTTCTACAGGAGAGCAGAGAATCACATGGTCCCCTGGGGGATGCCAGATACCTTCCATCAATGCCTGGACCACAGGTGCTGGCGGCTTCTTTCACTACAACTGCAGAGATGAGGGAGTCAGGCAAGTGGGTGATGCTTGAGGCTCTGGGAGTCTGGCCCCTTCCTCTTGTAGGTCTAAAATGTCAAGCTTGTTTCTACCCTTTTGGCAGCTGGCTGCATTATTATTATTTTTATTTGGTGAAATACCAAGACTCCATTTTTCTGTGAAACATGTTTCCCCTTCCCCACTTTGGCAGAACTCAAGACAATCAGTGAAGACCCTCTTTATACAGATAGGTAGGCGTGCTGCCAATCCCCTGTCTCAGTTACAAGTAAAAGAGAAAAGCCACAGTCAGGGCATCAGTTTGACTATTAAATGAATATTAGAATAGTAACCCATCATTAACATATCTGAAAAGAGAATAATATGCCCAAATTGTAAAAATTTTTGCACTCCTGTTCATATCCAGATGATGCAGGTTCAATGCCTCGGTCAAGAAGATCCCCTGGAGGAGGAAATGGCAACCTACTCCAGTATTCTTGCCTGGAGAATCCCACGGACAGAGGAGCCTGGTGGGCTATGGTCCACAGGGTCACAAAGAGTTAGATATAACTAAGTATGCACTGCCTGACTGCCTCCCGTTGATAGCATATTGGCAAGGTGGTTATGAAATTCTGAGATGAGATTTTTAAGTATTGATTTATACAAGATAAATATCATAACCTTTTAATACAAGCTTTCCTTTGAAAGTGATGAGTTTGGCCAAAACCTCATAGGTGTGCTCCCCGTTCCCACTTGGGGAAGCAGCCCCCCAGCATCACTTAAGAAAAAGAGTCTGCCTTCCAATGCAAGGGTCAGGGGTTCAATCCCTGGTCAGGGAACTAAGATTCCGCCTGCTGCAGAGCAACTGAGTCCACACGCCACAACCAGAGTCCATGTACCACATCGAAAGATCCTGTGCGCCACGACTGAGACCCAACACGGCCTAAACAAATAAGTAAAATTAAAAACAAACAAACAAAGAAGTCACTTATCCTGACACAGATGACGTGGATTCTGTATGGGGGCAGGAGACCCACAGGACATTAAGTTTGTTAGTAAAGGTGAAGCCAGAACATCTAAAACGTCTTAGGCCTAGTTTTGTTTTTGAGTAATTCACATTGCACTTGGCCCAATGAGTAGTTTTAAGGTCTTTCAGAGAGACAATGAGGTCCGTGGTGTGGCAGTTACAGATGACCCTCCAATGCCTCCCACCCAATCCCCAGAGATTCTAGGGGCGGGAAGCGGGGCTCTCTGATCAGCAGATGGTCAACACTAAGGCAGCCCCCAGGATGGCAAGTATCATGCCAGTGGTGGTTATGCCCACGACCCACTACCATTACCATACCTTTCCCAGTTGAGCCTGGTCCCCGACACATAGTTAAAGCTGGCCCATGAGCTCACACCCAGCTAGTGTCTCTGGCTCAAAAATCATCCCAACACGTCTAAAGACTGTCCCACTCTTGAATACTCTGTCTTATAGACTTTGTGGCTGCCCGTAAATTCAGCCAAAGGGCTCCCCTGTGCCAACAGGGGGCAAGAGAAAACCAGACTGAATTTGAGCCCAAATTCAATCATCTGACTCTCTCCCTGCCTCCAAAAAAAAGGAAAGCATATGTAAAATGTGTGTTTGGCTGGTATGGAGAAAGAACCCAGTTTTTCACTGCTATTTTTTAAGATTATGGGAAACCGTGCCTCACATAGCGATCAAAACGCCTCTTAAGGTAAGCACCTCCACTTAGTTCCAGAGGTCGACTAGGCTTTTGTAACATGAAAGCACACGTTTTACAGTTTCACCTCCTCACTAATGACCTGAGTCATTTCTCAACAGGCCTGACACCAGATTTCAAATGACAATTAGGTCTTCGTGTTTGCAAAACAACTTGACTGACGTTTCAGAACCGCGGGGCGCAGAAAACAAGTGACCCACGCAGACACGTCGACAGAACCTTGACCGACGGGCAGCCCGGCGACCGGTGCTGCCTCCGCTGACAGAGGAAGGAGCAGATCCAGTGAGCGAGGGCAGGACGCTGGATCCTAATTGGGGGTGCTTTCCCACAGGTCTGCGGTGACTCCCCCCTTCCCCAATCACCCACAAGCATGCGGGACGGGACTCGTCCCAGACTC